TGACTTTTGCAGGAGACCGCAGGCTCAGCCGTGACAGCAATCTGCATTGGCCTGGTGGAATCGGTTTGCTCCACTGCAGTGGCCATGTGAAATCTGCGTGCTTTACCCCTGTGACTCTCTGGGTCTCCACCCCACCCAACTCCCATACAAACCAAAAGCTCTTACAGCTGCGGAGACTTATGGGAAACTTGCAGACAGCCGCAGGCCTTGAGGTGCATTGGTCCTTTTGCTGAGCTGCCCCAGGGCCAATATTGGGGGTAACTGCCCTCAGCTCACAGTGGCTGAATAATCAAAGGCAGTGGCTGACCTTGACCTACACAGGAGTCTCTCCCAAGGAGCCCTAGAACCAACACATCTGGAGACTGGTGTCAGACTATGATAGAGCATCACCTGACTAGCCTTATATGCGGCACATCCAAAGGGTGGCCTGCTGAGGTGAATCCCGCTGTGTGGGGTCAGCCCCCACACAGCAGTTATGCCCTGTAGGCATGGCCAGTTCCCACAACCAGTCAGCCCGAAAGTCAGTCCCATCCACTGAGAGTCAATCTCACCCACTGATGGGCTAATAGCAATCAAGGATTAGCTGCAACAGAAGAACACACACAACCCATACAAGGAACAGGCCCCGGGGCCCCTGGCACCACTGAGACACATAGGACACCTATTACAAAAGGCCACCCGGCCAAGGCTGGGAGATGTAACAAATCTTACTAATACATAGAGATGAACAGAGGCAACAGGAATGAGAAAACAAAGAAAGATGCTGCAAATGAAACAACAGGAATAACTCCAGAAAAAAACTAAACAAAATAGAGGCAAGCAACCTATCAGAGGCAGAGTTCAAAGTACTAGTTTTAAGGATGCTCAAAGAACTTAGGGTAGAAGAGATGATCTCAGTGAGTGTCAGAGGTGGGCGGGGTTGGGGAGCTGAGTCAAAAAAGTAAAAGGATGAAGAAGTACAAATTAGTAATTACAAAACAGTCACGAGGATGTAGAGTAGAGCACAGTAAATATTATCGGAATGGCTGTGTATAGTGCCAGCTTGTGCTAGAGTAATTGAGGGGACCCTTTCATAAATTATATAAATGTCTAGCCATTGTACTGAAACTAATAAAAAATAAACAAAAACATCATAGAGACACAAAGTTAAATAGTGGTTGCCAGGGGCTGGGGAAGTGGAGAAATGGGAAGTTATTGTGTAGTAGGTATAAATTTTCACTTTTATGTAATGAAGAGTTTTGGAGATGAATAGCGATGATGATTGTACAACGCAGTGAATGCATTAATGCCATCGAAGTGTGCACTCAAAATGGTTAAGGTGTAAATGCCTATCAGCTTAAAATAGACTGTTACAAACATAGATGGATATATGTGAACCTCATAGTAACCAAAACCAAAACCATGCAAAAAATACTCAAAAAATAAATAGAAGAAAATCCAATCAGAACACTAAAGAAAACCAACAAATCAAAAGAAAAGAGATCAAGAGAAGAAGAAACAGCAAAGAACAAAAACAATTAACAAAATGGCAATAAGCATGTACCTATCAATAATTACCTTAAATATAAATGGACTAAATGCTCCAATCAAAAGACATATAGGGCCACAGAATGGATTTTTAAAAAGTGACCCATCAATATGCTGCTTATAAGAGACTCACTTCAGATCAAAAGATCCACACAGGCTGAAAGTGAAAAGGTGGAGAAAGATATTCCATGCAGATAGAGATGAAAAGAAAGCCAGGGTAGCAATATTCACATGAGACAAAATAGACTTCAAAACAAAGAATGTAAAAAGAGACAAAGAAAGACAGTATATAATTTTAAAGGGATCAATCTAAAAAGAGAATATAACAATTGTCAATATCTATGCATCAAACATAGGAGTACCCAAGTTATAAAGCAAATGTTAATGAACATAAAGGCAGAAATTAACAAGTAATACTATAATATTGGTATTATATTATGATATTATTATACTATATTATAATACTCCATTTACCTCAATAAATAGATCATCCAGACAGAAAATTAATAAGGAAATAATAGCCTTACATGCCACATTAGACCAATTTGACTTGATAGACATTTACAGAGCATTTCATCCCCAAACTGCAGATTACACATTTTTCTCAAGTGCACTTGAAATGTTTTCCAGGACAGATCACATACTAGGCCACAAAAAAAGCCTCAATAAATTCAAGAAGATTGAAATTATATCAAGCATATTTTCTAGCCACATGTTGGCATGAAGCTAGAAATAACTACAAGAAAAAAACTAGATGGATGTGTTTTCTTAAAAGATAGTTCTGTTTTCCTTCTTCAGCCACAGTAGCTGCCAGCCTGCATTTGAAGATGAATTCATTCCTTCTGGGTCTCACTCAGAATTAGCATTGAGTTTGCATTCTTCCCAGAAATAGATAAGAAGAGAATACCCCAAAATGGCATTTATTGATTCCAAAATCCAAAAAGGCCCAGCAAGCATTGTGTCTTCCTACATGGTGGACAGTACGAGGTGCAGCAACTTATCTTATGCCTCAGAAGGACTATGCCCCAGACCACTGGATCTCTGGAAATTTCACCCATATGGTAAGTTCTGGACTATTATAGGTGTAGCTCCCATCGTCCTGCACGCCTGTGGTAAAGCACCTGGGATATCTGCTATTTTTGTTCCCTACAACCAGTTAAGATAACGTTATCAGTGTGATGGAGTGGCATTGATAATCTGAGGGATAACAAGTGATCAAAGTCTCTTCAGAGAGCCAAGGAGATAACTTAGTCCTGGGGTAAGAGAGTGAAGGTATATTGCTGAGTTGATACGTATGAGAAAGCTACTTCTGATTATCTGGATCAACAGGAATAGAAAGGATGAATTTGGTAGGAGTAGGTCTGGAGCATGAGAAGAGAAAAAATAATTCAAAAGCCATGGCAACCATGGGACTAAGTGTTTGGTCACAAACAGACCAGCCCTGATTGAAATCCTCTGCAGGCTGGGACTTGACATTTTCGAAACCCAGGTCATGGCAGAATTTACATTTGCTTCTTCCTCCACCTCCATGAGATTCAAGGTCTTCCAGGGGTCTTCGCTCCTTTACTCTACTTAATAGGGAGGCACACAGTTGTGCCAATAAAGACAGAACATGCAATGATGTCCAGGCGCGCATTCCTCCCAGCATTCGAGGTGTAGCCTCTGAGTTCTAGGGGGCTGGGTGGAGTTTGGGCTGGGTCCAGAGAGCTCTCTGGAACACAGGTCAGGACACCAGTTATCTCAAGAGAGAAGAACAACTGTTTCCAGAATAACCCATGGTCCATGGTGTTCATGCCGGGGGCGAGGAACAGGTCAGCCTGGCACCCATAGTGTACCCACGTGGTAGGGAGCACTGAACTTGGGGCCGTGGGAGGCCATTCCCTATGTGGGCCCTGGCAGATAGCTCTGCCTCTCTTAATCGTCTTTCTTGGGGTGTCTGGGGCGTGGCCAAGCACTGGGAAGATGCGTGGAGAGTGAGGCATCTGAGGAAGCACCAAACAAGAACTCCTGTGGAGCACAGCCTTACCACCTACCTACCTCTGATGAGGTCTGTGCTGGTGGTCGGTCATGATGTCTTTCCTAAGTCCCCCCTGTCCAAGGGCAGCTCTGATAGAGGTGGAGAAGATACTCCTACACCAGGAGCCCTGTCGTGCTTCTGAGGTGGGTCAGAGGCTCTGGCCTGATGGAGGCAGATTCCCTCCTCTGACGTCTCCTTCATTGCTGCCCAGCAGGAAACACAGGACTGGAGCAGAACACTGCACACGTGCCTCCAGCAGGGCCTGCCTGCCTGAGTTCTTCAACCTGACTCCACGGCCCGATTGGCCACACATGACTTAGTCCCTGGATCTAGCCCCAGGACCATTTCAGAGGAGTCGCGATTGCACAGAGTAGTGGGGGGGCCTGCATCCAGTGGTTAACTCTCACTGGCTCACCATGAGACCGTGGGCAAGACCCATGGCCATCCTGTGCCAACTACTCCTTATCAGCATCATCATGAACCACCTGTTCGCCCCTCATGTGGCTCCCCTCTAGATTAAAAAAAAAAAAAGTAGAGAGAGAATGAGGAAAGGTAGGAACCAGTCAGTTAATGGAAGGCACTGCAGTCTCAGGTCCTGACGCCCAGTTCCGGGCCCCATGGTGAGAGCAGCCATCTTGGTAGAGGATGGAGTGGGGGAAGTTTGCATTAGCACAGGCACCCTCTTCCATGCTCTGGTCTCTGTCATGGAAGAGAAGTGAGCACGCAGAGAGTTCACCCTCCTCTAGCTGCATCTAGTTCACCATCCTCTAGTGAATGGCCTCTCACTCTCTCTGGTCTTGGGCAAGTCGCTTAACTTCTCTGGGATTCGTTTTCTTCTTTGTAAAGAGAGAGTTACGTGAATTTTACAAGGAGAATGGAGAGAGAGAGAGAGAGAGAGAGACAGAGGTGGGTCAAATTGAAGAAGAGGCCTCCTTGGGGACCTCCTACTCTGTGCCCCGGGGTCTGTGCCCCGGGGTCTGGCTTCCACCTGTCTCACGGTTCACTTGGCCCTGCTGACTCCAGGGTGAGGAGTGTTCTTATTGGCCCTGGGGGATGCCACGCATGCGTGGTTTCTGCCCCTGGAAGTGCTGGCTCAGTGAGCAGAGCAACGAAAGGGCTGAGCGTCTGGGGGCTGGCAGGGGCACGTGGGCCAAGGGAGAGAGGGCAGAGAAACGTGACAAAGGAGGGGGCTCAGGGACTGGGCCCCCGAGAGGCGGGGACACTCTGGGGTACACACGGGGTTCTCAATGACCACAGCACTGGGAGGCAAATAGGCAGATCCCTGCCGTTTGTCCTGGTTTATTCGACAGGAACAAGAAGTTCAGACAGTGGGGAGGGTGACATTGCGGTTGGTCCCCCGGGGCCTGGGATTTGAGGTCCTCGTGCTTTGGCCGCAGGCGCAGTCATACATAGAGGCTTGCGGGAGCAGGATGCACAGCCCAGGCCCCTCTCCCACTCACAGGATGCTCATGCAAACGTTCCCACAGTAGGTCGAACAGCATGTGGTATTTGAATTTGTACACTTTTGGAAAAACGAACAGTGGTTGTGGCAAACATTTGTACTGGGCCGCTTCTCACAGACCTTGACACCTAAAAGGAGCAGAAGGATCAATGGAATCAGCCTCCACAGGGCACTCCTCTCAACCTCAAAGTTCCCTTATGACCCCAGAACCCAGGTCCCACTCATAACAGTCTTGGACTTTTCCAGGAACTCACTCTCTGCCTCTCACTCAATCCTGGTGATTGGTTGTATCTTAAATCCATTACCCTCATTTTACCCCAATAGATCTCAATCAATGCCTGGGCTTCCTGGACCCTCTCCACACTCCTGTGGCCAGGACCCTGTGTCTCATATTAGTCTTGGCCTTGGTGAAGTCACCCCATAGAATCTAAACTCTGACCCTGAAAACTCAGCACAGTCTGAGACATCTGCAAACTCTCCCCACTCTCCAGAATTTGCAGGGTCCGGAGAGGAAGACAAACTTGCCTCTCCGCCCTCTCTTTCCTCTTGTCACTGTCACTGTCCAGTTTTTCTGCACCTTCCCAGGAAAGAGCACTTTCAATATTTCTCTTCCACAGCCACCATCCAGGTTCCCCTGATGATAATTGTAACCTGACCCTGCACACCCCAAAATTTAATTTCCCAATATCCTTTCGTTCTGCACCTATTCCCATTAACACCTCTGGCTGTTGACCTGTCACGTATGTGCATAAATCAAAGAAGAGTTGTTCTGTTTTCTCATCTGATCCTCAGCGTTGTGGCCCTTTCACTATTGTACGTACCATATGTCTCTGGATTTTTAGAACAGAGGCTAAAAAAATGTAGGTTCCCCTCCACCCCCATCACTAGTTTCAAGGCCCGGTAAAGGGGCTGGAGGGCCATGGTTGGGGAGGACCCAGAGTCTTCGTAGTAGCTGCGGTCAGAGCAGGATGGGCTGAAAGGTTCTAATTCCTAGATCCTCTGTAGCTGGACACAGCTCCACTCCCCACTCCCCATCTTGCCCTCCAGCCCATCACCTATCTTCCTCTTCTTGTGATACCCTCCATGGGCCTGCAGCAGCAGCGCACAGAGAAGCAGGATGGGCAGCAGAGTCTGGGCTGACATGAGTCTGGCCATAGCAGTGAGCTCTAAAGTCTGGCACAGGCTTCGCTGGAGAGCTGGTGTGAGGGTGGAGGAAAGAAAGCACAGGTTATTCTGGGCTCCTCCTGCCTCACTGGGTAGGCCAGGGCTGGGCAAGGAGTCCTTATTTCCTCCCCTGCACCTGCCCCTTCCATGGCCTGTTCCATGTGGGCCTCCTGCAGAGATGGCTCCTCCTCTCACATAAGTAACTCTTTTCTTTTGCAAATAGAATTTTTTTCTTGATAGATATAATATTTTCTATATTTAATTACAAACTAAATTACATGGTAAAAAAAAGAAAAGAACAAACATTATATTTGTAAAAGGTATGGAAACAAGTCCATTATTGGATGAATGAATAAAGAAGAGATGGTGTATATATATAGATATAGATTTTATATATATATATATGTATGTGTGTGTGTATATATATATATACATAGATAGATAGTTAGATAGATAGATAGATAGATAGATAGAGATAACAGAATATTATTGAGTCAGGTAAAAGAAGGAAATCTTACCATTCGTGACACCTTAGATGAAACTTGAGACATATAAGTGAAATAAGTTGGACACACAAAAAAACAAATACTATATAATATCACTTATATGTATAATCTAAAAACTGAACTCATAGAAACAGAGAGCAGAGTGGTGGTTACCAGGGGCTGGAGGTTAGGGCAACAGGGGAGATCTAGGGCAAAGGGTATGTACTTTTAGTTATAAGATGACTAGATTTTAGGGATCTAATACACAGCATGGTGATTATAGCTAATAATACTGTATTATATACTTGAAAGTTGCTAAGAGAGTAGATCTCAAATATTCTCACCATGAAGAAAAAATATCATATCACATCATTATGTGATATGATGGATATTAGTTTGATATTCTTATATATTGCAAATCATTTGCAATATGTGTCTCGAATTAACATGTTGTACACCTTATCCTTACACAATGGGATATGTTAATTATATCTTAATAAAGATGAAAAACTTAACATGTATATTGGATATATTATGTATAAAACATGTACTTTTTTCTACCTTTATTAAGATACAATTGTAATATATTAATTATATTTTAATAAAGATGGGAAAATATATGTTATACACATATGTATTTTCCAGCTTTATTACTACATATTAATTATAATTAATTGTATAATAAAAGATATTATATAATTACTTATCAGTATATCAGAGAGATAGACACTAAGGAGGACATGGAAATAATGGAGACACATAGTATCTTAGAACTCAGACAGACGATACATCTGGGTATACGAAATATCTTGGCCAGTTACTGTAGGCCAGACTCTACCTTTAGCCACACCAGTGCTTTCACAATGGACCCATGAATAGAGTAGCCATGATGACAGATGTAGGCTATGCATAAGCTTGTCAGAATGAGCCCACAGCTAACAAAGCTGATGCGGCTACTATTTTGCTGAATGTACAACTTAGCAGCAGCACAGACCAAGGCTGAGCCCTTGATACAGCACCAGTCTCAGGAATTGAATCAGCCACTTGATTCAAGTTTAGAACATCAGACCCATTCCTCCTGGGAAAGGGAGTGACTCACGTTGACTGGAAGAGACACATATTCTGGGAGCATGATTTGGCTTTTCTGTCTGCAGTGCCTCAGCCAAAACCACTTCAAGCTAATTGACAAATTTACACCAGAGTGCAATAACAGGTCCATAATCACAAGATCCCGTGATTCTATCCCATATTATATCACCCAGACTCTGTCAACCTGACACAGTTGTGGATTGGCCTACTGAAGAAACATATAAATTGCCAGTTTGGAGATGACACCGTCAAGATGGAGCACTTACCTTCTGGTTGGGAAATATACTTCGAACCAAAGGCCATTGTATGCTGCAACATCTCCTGTAGACAGAATACATAAGTCCAGAACCAGTAGCCACACTCCAGATCACCCCCAGGGATTTGTGCTTTTTATTTCTGTAATGTTAAGTTCTATGCATTAAGAAGCTTTAGATTCCAGAGGGGGATGCTTACATTAAATAAGGCTAAAAGACGTAATAGAACGCTCCACTCAACAACAACAGAATACATATTCTTCTCAACTACAAAAAAAGTATGGTAGTGGCATAAAGATAAACATATAGATAAGTGGAATAGAACTGAGAGGCCAGACAAAACCCATACATCTATGGCAAATTGATTTTCAGAAAGGGTGCCAAGACCAAGAACAGTCACTTCAACAGATGGTACTGGGACACCGAGTATTCACATACAAATGAATGAAATTGGATCTCTATCTCTCATTACATACAACAATTCATTTAAAGTTAATTAACAATTTAAACGTAAGCTATAAAATTCTTTAAAAATATAGAGAGGTAAATCATCATGACTTTGGATTAGGCAATGGATTCTTTTTAATTTTTAATTTTTTAAGTTTTATTTTATTATTAGTTTCAAGTATAGGCAATAGATTCTTAAAAATGACACCAAAAGCACAGCAACAAAAGGAAAAATAGATAAATTGGACTTAAAGCTAAAAAACATATTTGTGCATCAAATGACTTTATTTAAAAAGTGAAAAGACAATTTAAAAAGTGGGAGAAAATATTTGAAAACCATACGTTTGATAAGTGTATAATATCCAGAATATATAAAGAACTCTTAAAATTCAAGGAAACAAACATAAACAACCCAATTACAAAATTGCAAAGGACTGAATGAACATTTCTCCAAAGAAGATATACAGTCAATCATTACATAAAAAGAGGCTCAACATCTTTAGTTATTAAGGAAATGCAAATCAAAATCACAATTAGATAGCAACCACTTCACACCCACATAGATGGCTTTAATTCAAAAAAAGAAAAATAATAAGTGTTGGCAAGGATGTGGAGAAATTGGAACCCTCATGCATGAATGATAAAATGTTAAATGGCTCAACCACTGTGAAAATAATTCACAGTTTCTTCAAAAAATTAAACATACAAAATTAAACATATAATCCATCAATTCCACTCTTAGGTATATACTCAAAATTGAAAATAGGTACTAAAAAAAATTATATGCAGATGTTCATACTACACTATACACAATCACTAAAGGCTGGAAACAACTCAAATGTCCATCAACAGATGAATGAATAAGCAAATTGTGGTGTTTACATACAACAGAATACTATTCAGATATAAAAATGAATGAAGTACTGATACCTACGTACTACAACATAAATGAACCTCAACAACTGCAGAGATAACATTTTCACTTATCATTTTGGCAAAAAAATTCAAAAGCATTACAACACATTCTATTATGGGAAACACATACATGGTCAGTTACAGTACAAAATGGTACGACCTTTATGGAATAGAATTTGGAACTATCTAGCGAAACTACATATGAATTTACCATTTTAACCAACAATCACACTTTTGGAAATTTACCCTGATGTTACACATTCAACAATATAGAAAATATGCACATGATTGTTCATTGCAGTGTATTTGTAACAGCAAAATCTTGGTAAATACATAAATGCCGATATGTAGGAGACTGGCTGTATGGCTAAGCTGTGTGCACATGGTAGCACAGAACGCAGCTGTAAGAAGAGAAAATCAGGATATATTGTTAAATGAAAATGACACCTAGCAAGACTAGGTGCTGTAGGCGTAAAAAAAATAAAAATAAAAAATAAAGGATTGTAAGCTGACAAGCTCCTTGCAATCTGTGAGGTCAACCAAGGGTTGCTTCTCCTAGAAAAAAATAATAATAATAAATAAGTAAGTAAGTAAGTAAGTAAATAAATAAATAATAAAAATGAGGGGCAAATGAGCATATTTGTGCAAAAAAGAAAAAACAGAATTAAAGATTCAAGTAACTAATTATCTTCGTTGTACACAAAACTTTCCAAAGAATTGATAAAGGACAGCTACTCAGCACATTCTATGAGGTCAGTGTAAAGTTGCTATAAAAACAAACAAGGACGGTGTGAAGAAAGAAGTTTACAGGCCCAGTTCCCTTGTGAACATAGATGTAAAATTCTTTAAAAAGAGCAAACTAAAAAAAATTTTTAAATAGCAAACTAAAAACCAAATGATATGAAAATGATAATACACAATGATCACATTAGATTACTAGAGAAATGCAAGAATGATTTAATGTTAGAAAATTTGAAAAGTAATTCAATACATTAACAGATTAAAGAAGAAAATAACGCTATCATCTCAACATATGTAGAACACACAATAGATATAATTTCACATAAACTAATGAACATTTTCTTGGTATGTCAGAAATGAAAGAGAAATTTCTAAACCTGATAAAAGATATTTATGAGAAACCTAAACAGACACTATCTTAAAAAGGGAAACTTAAGAAGTTTTCATTTAAAATAAGGTATCAGACAAGATTATAAACTATCACCACTTCTATAAACTAATGTATGGAGGTCCTGGATGCACAACGTGGCTTCTCAGAGAGCATACAGTTTGAAGAGGAAAAATAGAAATTATTATTTGCAGATGATGGTTGACTACACAGAACACCAAAAAGCACACACCAAGAAATTATAATAAGCAATGGGAAAATTTCGCAACGTAACTAGTTACAGATCAATATACGAAAGTTATTTCTCTATACTACTAACAAATGAAAAGAATTAATTAAAGAATTACAATACTATTTATGATTTCATTTAAAAATTCAAGTCTCTAGGAATAAATGTGACAAAGATACGCCAGAACTCTACATGGGGAAAATCATAAAAATTTTGTGAAAGCATGTTAACAAGACCTGGATGAGAGATATAACAAGGTCAAAATTAAAGAGATGAAAGGGGTGTAGATTTGAAACCTCTACCTAGTCACAGCATGCCTTCCCTTATCCCTCTTCCCTCCCTTCTCTGTGCCTGGTTGAACCCAGCGATCTTCAGCCACGACTTTTTTTTTTACCACTCATCCCACCAGCAGCATGAAGCCTGTGCTGCTT